GACATTGGCCGGCTGAAGATGATCAGCTTCGAGGGGGTGTTCGCGACGGTACCCTGAAGCAAGCCGAGGAACGCGCTGACAGTGGTCTCCGCATGTTTCATTTGATCAAACCCATCGACCACTAGCATGAAATGGAGGTTGGATTGGACTGCGGTCCTGATGGCTGTCCATAGCTGGCCTTCCACCTGGGGATCGGAAGCGCCGGATGTGGCCATTTCCATAGCACCGGTCACAGCTGCGAGGATGGCGTCCTGCGTCTTGCGACTGCTCACACAATGATCAAGCATCTGGATCAAAATCCCCTTGAGGATACTGAGCGTCAGTGTCGAGATTGGGACGTCCGACCGGATGACGATGGGGATGACGTTCCAGATATCATACTCCGAGGAGGCTTGCAGCCTTTCAACGGTCCACTGAGCCAAAGCACTCTTTCCGCAGCCCGGGTTGCCCCGGATCATCATCATGCTACGTCTTCCCATGGCAAAAGTGGTCAAATGAGGCTCGAACCAGGTGAATGAGCCGTCAGCCAGGGAGTGGCTATGACCTTCGAGCAGCATCTGGAGCGGACGGTCCTGAAGCTCCAGAAACTGGTATATAGCAGGCAAATCGACGGTAGTATGCTGCTTGGCTGTACCAGACTCGAGGACATGGGCGAAAATCTGCCGCCAGTGGGTTATAAACCGATTTGTATAGCGGAAGAACGCGGCGTCCACGGCAGAAGTCATCGTCTGCCAATGCTGGGTCCGTGTAGCCTGACGATATTCCGAGGTGACATGAACAACGAGCTCCAGCAGATGGGCATAGATTTCCGCAACCTGCTGCTGAAGGGGCCGTGAAACCGGGAAGAAAGTCTCTTGCTGAAGCAACAGGGAGATGCCCAGTGTGACACGACCGTAGCGGCCATACAGGCTCTCCAGGATATCGATATGATCAATTCCCATCTACGGGACCATGTCAGCGATCCAAACGGCGATACCTTCCACCAAAGACTGAAAAACTTACTTCGAGAAAGAGGAGGTTGGTTCCCCAAATCAGCTTGGTGGCTTCCTCAGCCCCGTCCATGAAGCTGTAGACCGAGTCCCGAAGGGAGCCGACGGCAACGGCGAGCCGAGAGGCGCGACGCAAAGCTCCATCAAGGCGACTGCCATCTGGGGGCATGCGTCGCAGACGCTCGGCAGCAATAGTGTCGAAGAAGACATCCAGGGTGGGTGATTTAGCCTGGATTTCATTTGCGGTAAGCCCGAGACGAGTCGGGCACTCCTGAGAGACGGTGTTTACCGTCTCCCGCAGAATTGGGAGAGATGCTGTGCCCCCATTGATAGCAAGGGTTCCCTTAGCACGAGTGGAAGCCATTGCTGTATCATTTCAGTGGAGGTTGAAAATGGTAGGAAGCATAGCATTGAGCAATTGGCTTCTCGACGAACGTGGTTGCTGCACGCTATATGAGTTTCCGATTCCTCCGCAAGGGTCAATGATGCGAGGACCAACGCTGTAGTCCGAACCCTGAGCAATGTTGACATCATGGGCTTCTTCCCCTCCGGATTGCTTGTCTGCCTCATATCCGTAAGGTCAAACTCGAGGAATTGAGTACGACGCGACCGTGGTTCGGGACGATGAGCGAGTCTACTGCAGGCGGTTGATCGCGCAGGGGAGAAGCCCATTCTGGCGCACTGCCAATAGCCATCGATCAGCCCACGTGAAATTGGCGTAGTCGTGGTGTCATGGGCCTCATTGTTGACTCGAAAGTGTGGTTAGGATGCGTCATGGAGAAAGGTGAAAGTCAATGACATCATGAACGTTAAGGGGATTGTTTGCGTGCGGGCTCAACAATGACTCGCCAGGTGAAGTTACGATGTCTTAGAAGATTTGAAGTTATATAAACTGGAACAGACCGATCATGATATTGTTTGTGAAACGTGCCCGTAGCTACTGCTACGACGGGGATCCCGATAGGGAAGACGGGAGGTGAGTATCGCAGTCAGGGTTACACTCGTCATGGCGGCAGAAAGCGCAATGAGACGAACGCGGCCCGGAGCCACGGGCTCTCCGTCTCCCCACCAGTTGGCCAGCCATCGAGCCATTCCACGATTTTGTCGGCAGATCAATAGTTTCAGATAACTTATGAACTATATGGATATTTCACAGAATTCCAATTGTGCAATTAAGCTGGTCAAACTTCTGTCTTTAATCGTCGTGTTGTTACCATTGCAGTACACTACTACTACCTGATCTGCCTAAGAAACTACCAATTCATTCTCCTTCCGGACTGTGTCGGGAATATACTGGCAGATTTACTGGTGATAGACTCTTAGAATGATCTGGCCCAGGATGAAGAATCTCATCCCTGCCTCGGAAATGCCCGGCAGACTGAGCCGGCCTCCAACAGTGGTGGTTCCACGGTAGATCCGAGCCCAAGAGTGTAGACAGCCCTTGGATCGCCCATCTATTACAAGGCCCTCACAAGTATGATTGGAACAGACGGTGGTCAAGTCCGAATATGCTGTTGGAAGCTTTGCTGGAAACATGCATGATTCGTCGGAACAGGTGCCAGGGCTATCCACGCCGTAGATCATTTACCTTACTACAAAAAACTATAGTCATTAAACAATTTAAACTGCAAGTGGTTATGTCACCGTCGTCATCCCATTGACTCGATCATTCTCCTAACCCATGCAGCCAGTCCCTCCAGCCAGTCCAGGAACGCTCATTAAACCCTTGTAATTCCAGTCAGCACTGTGCAAGGAGACTAGCTGCTTATATCACTTACCGTAAATAATGGCATCAACAAAGCCCTGTGACATAATGCAAATCTAGACCTCCGTTAATAAAGTTCAAAGAAGGCCATCATTTTTTTTCGATCACCTTTTCTAGAATCTCTAGTGCCAGTGGAGCGCGCTTTCCCGTCATCCCTTGATAGATGCGCACGGAAGTGGGGATGATCCAGATCAATGCATATACGGTCGGATATACCATCATTTGGAGTGACACCTAACCATTCGATCATTGAGATAAGACCGGCAAACACCGATATTAAGGTGACTAACCTTCTTCAGTGGAATCGCCGAATGAGAAGTTGGGGTAGGTCCGTCACCGATATCCAGAAGCTGCCATTGGTGTGGATGCGGCGTCTGCAGAGTAATCTCCTGGTCGCTCGAGAGGGCTTTATGAGACCGGTAGAGGAAGAGGCATAGTCGGGTGTAAATGCACAGGATGACAAGGATGATAGTCCATCGTGGGATGAAGTTCACGAAGAGTCGGACACGATCACTGGTGAACCAGCACCCTGATCTCTATCAATCGCGCGTCTCAAGACCATAGAGCCAAAGGGGACATACAGCCACCGGCATACCCATATCCGACGACGACAAGGCCAAGCACTGCCCATAGGATCGAGAGACCCCATGGGATGCACCAGAGGGCGGCTTTATGGTTCTGGACCCATGACGCGGCGTGGATATAGTCCATCAATATGAGGTACGTGCAGATTGCAATCGAGAGAATCCAATAGTCGGCTAGCAGTACTATCAATTAGTATGTTACCGCCAGGAATGAATTATTGCGACCCTTACTTTGCACCAGAAAGGTCTGAGCCATGAGTCCATTGAAGCCGCAGAAAGTCTTGAGGGATGGATTCCATATCTCGATGCCCGAGGTATTCAGACCAGCTGAGATGACAACATTGCTTGCGGCTAGAAATTCACTGATCCCGAGACCTAAAACCGTCAGTTGCAGTTATATTGCATTATCCACGGAAAAACAGCACCTAAAATTAATTGATGACGAAAAGTGCGCAGACTGGGTATAACCTGATGCGTGTCAGAAACAGGCAGGCAGGTATACGCCTTGGTCTGATACTCACAAGGAAGCTGATAATGATCCATCCTGACCCAACCATGGAAGCAATCGAAACCACGAGGATAGTTCGTGAGAGGATCTCCTCTGATTCCATCTGTGTAGGCGCGGAGAGCGCAGCGTGCTCCATCAGCGGTGAAGATATCAAATCACTTGTGTTACATACTGCAGCATCTGTTCTGAGAGAAGAAAGAAGATCAAAATTTCATGAAAAAGGTGGGACACTGCAAGGTAGATATCACAAATACTATCGGGCACCTCCTATCGTGAACTTCAAGCGCCCGCGGAGTTGGCCATCCCACTCCCAGAAACGCCGTGGAGATCGGCTGTGCTCCCAAAGAGATGATTAGAAAAAGCAAAATTGAATCGCGTGCTTGGGCAGGTGGTCGTTGCGTATACTTAGTGCGAAGATCTCGCACCAGCATTCCAAGTATAGGATCGGGAAGATCGAGTGTACAGTGTGATAGACTTTCACAAAATGTGATCCCAACGGGACGGAAACACAATGAATCCATGTTGTGTCTCGGTTGCTTGAGTGGGCATTGCTCATTGATTCTGTAGGCTGTTCTGCACATGAATGTCCAGCCATATGTATGTGTTGTATGGCTCAATTCGAGGCTTCCCCAAGATCGATGGCGCGAGATACGGCAACCAAGTGAATCTCTAATCCAGGGGTAGCCTGAAGCACGGATGCTCCCTTATCGTGCCAGTTCACTCGATCAGCCAATCCAGCTGCAAGATTGCGGATATTGCTTTGGCGTTGTGTATTTGCTTGTTCCTCGACGATCATCAGCATCGGCTATCACGATGAGGCTGAGCAATCGCCCAAGTTTGAGGTCTTTTTCCTGCCCAATGACCTTCCCAATGGTGCATTGTCACATTTTGAGAATACGATAGGGGTTGGGCTGAAACCCCCATGCGATGTTGCCTATTGATGACAAAATGTGAACCTTTCTAATAGTGCATTTGTCCGCTCATGAAGAAAAAAAAAACATAGTTTAAAATTCTGCGCAGGCATTTTGAAGCTGGTCCGAAGAGCTGCAATGATGGAAATGTATTTAGCCACTATCTATGTCGTGCAAGATGCCCAGCTAGGGGATCTGCACAATGCATCTTCTCCAACCCCTCTTGGTCCCAGCACAATGGTCTTAGTTCCCTTGGGTCGGCGGCTCTGCCTCGTATCCAACATAGGCCGTAGTCAATTGGTGGCGCACCCACTATGACGTACCAGAATTAGCCTGTTCCTTGAGAAAGAAGAACGTGAAGCATGCAATTCGTCTCACCTCCCCCGCTTTGAACGGCGTCTTGCACGCAGGACTATCCTCGGTAATGCAGCTCGGCAGCACAGCCACAGTGGTGTCATAGTCCACACCAAAGAAGAAGGGGATGGTATATCGCTCCTGTCCGGTCAGGTTGGTGACGCGATGGATGGTCGATTTGAACTTTTTATTGGTCCTGTACACATTATTATACCCTGCAAGATGTTGGAATCTACTAAATACAACACTACATACCAGATGGACAAGCAGTCCGAAATGTTCACTACCAAAGTGCCAGGAATGGGCGGCGCCAGGACCCATTCCTCTCGAGCATTGAGAACCTGCAAAGCCGGGACTCGATCTTGTGAGAGTATAGTGAAACATTCGTAGTCCTGAAGAACAGGTATTGTCCCATTCAGTACGCACCTCGCTTCGTCTTTTCGGGCAGTTACTTACCGTGTGTTCTCCAAGTCCGACTTTCACCTCGCCCGCGACCGGCTGCGGTGGATAATGCAACATCCTCGACGTAGCCCCGGGGTTCTTGACCATCGGGTCGAAGAAGTCCTCGGGTAAATCCAGTGCTAGCGCAAAGATTCGTATCAGCGCCCGAGATAAGGTCAACGCCTCAGCAAAGTATCGAAGATAGATTTCGCGGAACCCAGGAAGGACATCCTCCTCAGGCCATTGGTTATCCCCATACAGATCATACGTGTCTGGAGGAAGGGCGTCATGTTGGCTCTTCAGAGGGTCGGCTGCGACTTCATAACCGATATCGAAGGATTCGGAAAAGGCCCCGGGTGAGGTAGGGTCTGGCTTGGGGACGGTCCCGAGATCCGTGTCAGTGGGCTGCTCTGAGTAGAGAGACATGAAACCGCGAAATTTCTAAATCGAGGATCAGTAGATTGTCGCTTAAAGTCGAGATGTGAAATGCTACCCTCGATCTTCCAATATAATAATCCATCTTTTGCTTCTGCGACAGAGTGAAGAACTGACGCGCCATGTCGTGGAGGGAAGTGATGAGGTCCTCAGCTATTCCATGATTCTGTGTCATACTCAGGTACTCTGCGTCCATCCAACCGGCTAGGGAAGAAGCATACCTTGATGTAGAAGAATCCGACCTGCGTACAGGCAGTAAAGATCTCCTTTGCCAGCTGTTGGCGCTCCTTCAGCACGGGACTCCTTAATGTCGAGAGGTCAATGATAGGGATGTGATTGAAAATCCCTGGACTTGCGTTGCTAACCGACATTGTTTATTGCTTAATTATTGGGCGTTTTCTAGCGGGAAAATAGAGAAATAAATGTTTGAAGATCCTCCTTTATGTTAAGTGAAAGGCAGCAATGCTATCTCGGCAGGGGACCATCGGTTATCACCCCGCACGGAAAGTCCGCTTATCGGTCATGGGGCACGATAAGATCGCTCATTGTCCCTCATGTATATCATGTCCCTCTGCACATGAATTTCTACTCATCCAAGCCCCATATACTGGCATGGGGTGCTGTCTAAGTTATAGGTTGTGATGCAGAGTCATCGTAGTTGAACGAGACTATTACCTAGGCTAGGTTGTGTACGCCGATACCACGATACATGAAGGGATAGATTTGTAAGGCATCCAGATCATCCACTCCACCAAGTTCTCCTATGCCAGTATCTCAACCATACCTGCCAACCTTCTCTAAGTCCTTTTTGTGATGCGTTCTCGAGATACTATTTGTGGTAGGAATCTAGCCCCACTCTGGAGTGGATCCATTCCCAATTTATCCAAATTTCTCCAAATCTTCTGCCACATCTCCAATCATCAAACAACTAATCCACAGCTTCGTCCGTCGGATCATCCCATAATGATCTTTTCAACGACATTATGACAGCTTTGCTCCTCCCAGTTGAGCTCATCGAACAGAATGTAGGCCACCTTGAATGTGAAAATGATATCAATGCCCTCGCTCGCACTCATGGAACTTTCTACCGCGCCGTGACTCCCATGCTGTATCGACATAATTTACACCATAATAACAGCTCTGCATTATCCTGGGGAATTGAGCACAGATGTCTTGCAACTGTGCAGAAGTCTCTCTCGGCCGGTGCGTCGGCCAACGAGTGTGATCCGGACACTCTCTGGCGACCCATGCCGTTGGCGGTGATAGAGGGCGATGAAGCCATTGTCCAGTATCTGTATGAACAGGGAGGAGTCGACATCCGTCACACACGTAGGTGGCTCAACCCACGCCATAAGGCCTATGACAGAGGTCCTGGAAGCTTGTTGTTGCTGGCCGCTGTCCATGGCCATGAAGCCCTGGTCCGCTTCTTCATGGATCACCTGCCGCGGCCGTACAATGTCGATTATCCCGCCGACTCGGGTGGGCGAACACCCCTTATGGAAGCTGCTGCAGAGGGACATCTAGCTATTGTGCGGTGGCTGGTCGATGCCGGAGCAGACATCCACGCCCGAGATCATGATAGTTGGACTCCCCTCGTGCTATCTGCGCGCGGGGGCCACCTTGAGCTCATGCGGTTCCTGCTCCAACGGGGAGCCGATCCTACTATCCCCACGGTACCGGACGGATGCTCCGCCCTGTGCTGGGCAGCGCGTCTGGGTCACTTCGAATGTGTCCATTGCCTGCTCGATGCGGGCGTGATGGACCAATTAACCCGCTGCCAAGGCTCAGAATTGCCGTCGTCCCATAATGCTACGATGTGTCCTCTTACGTCAAACGCACTCTTGAAGTGCGACAACATAGTTGATCTTCTCTTTGAACGATGGGATTACCTAGCTAGCACCGTTGAACCCGCAAACAAGGCTGTGCTGCTGTGCGTAGCCGCGGCGCGTGGGATTACGGCTTTGGTCCGGCAGCTACTTGAGTGCCATGGGTACGACCCAAATTATCGATTTAGTCAATATTTTTTTCTGGATGACCTTCCGACTGCCCTCTGCTGGGCTGTAGTATGAGGTCACGCCGAGGTGGTCCAGGTGCTCCTCGCTCACGGTGCCGAGACATCTCCCTCGCCGGGAGTGATGCCTATGCGGAAGCCCTTAATCGAAGCCATTAAGCAGGGCTCGGAAGCCATGGTCTCCATGTTACTTAGCGCTGGGGCAGACCCCAATGATCAGGATGCGCAGGCCGGTTTTGCGGCATTAAAGCATGCCATCCCCTTCGAGGGTATATTCCGTCACTTACTCACCGCGGGGGCTGACCCTACCGCCGTAGACTGCCAAGGTGATACCATACCAGCCACCGTTCTGGCGTCAGGCCGCACGACACTAGTCCAGGCGCTGATCGATCAGGGACTCGATCTGTCGCACCATATGCGTCGGGCCAATTTCCTTCACCAAGCCATCCGCGGGGGGCCGGCGGTTCTCGATCTGCTCGTCCGAACGGGGGGATGGAATAGCTACATCTTCCCAGAGCACTTGGACAAAACCACATGCGAGCAGGCCCTCGTGATCGCGGTCTCGACGGGAAAGATTGAGACACTTCGGTGGCTGCTAGACAGAGGCTTTTCGGTGGCCCAGTTGTCGCCCACTGTCAACTTGATTGCTGAAGCAGCATGTACAGCTACAACGGATGCAGACGCCGCCGAAACCATTGACCTCCTGCTTCAACACGGCCTGGACATAAACAAACGCATCCACGAACGCATTGGCCGTAAGACAGCATTAGCACACGTGGCCTATCACTACAACCTGCATACGGATAGCGACACCGGCCGCGTCCGCCTGCGCATGCTGGTCGATCGCGGCGCCCATCTCCTTTCACCGCGCAGCCCTTCCGAGCGATACAATCCTTATACATCCACTATCGCAGTTTGTGTTGGTGTGAGCTCTGTGTTGGATGAGATGATATTTCAGGAGATGGAGGCCCGGCGTGAGCCGTGGATAGCGGTGGAATGGCTCTTTAAGTACGCTGAGCTCGATGCGCGTGACCGCTGGGATTGGGAGGGAGTTAAGATGATAAAACGGTATTCGTGGAGGGTGCGGTATCCTGTACCTAAATGATATGATGTTAGTACATTAAACTGTCACGACCGGATCTGTTCCTTCTTTAATTAATACTACTAATTTTCTTACGTCAAGGGGCTTCTCAATGGTATAGAGACTATATGCACAGGATGCATTCAGCCAGATCTCACGCATTAGTGCTCTCCATCTTTCTCACTATCTACTAATCAGGCACATGGCCACTATAAGGGTCACGACTCGATTAGTAGCTCAAGGGAGCATGAACATGCTTAGCGGCACAAAACCAGTGCTAAGGTTTTACTATCTCAGAGGGGATATGTTTATGCTACTAATCACGGCCGTTGGGGGAAACTTCAGAAATAACAGGGAATAAAACTAGTAAGGAAAGGTAAAATTATAGAGTATTGATACACAATGGTCGAAGATGGTAGGAACGAAGCGTGCCTGCGACTAGTATTTTCAAGACTATGTGTGATGCCCACTATAAACTCAACATTGTAACTATATTCAAATACTTGATAACAATCGTTCCTAAACAGTACTAATAGAGTTTGCTTATGCTGAGAAACCATATGAATCGACCGGCCTCCTTACTCAGTCCTCTGTAAGCTAGTCCCACCATCTAAGGCTTAACAATGCTGAAGTTCGGATCACCCGGATCAAGCAACGACGCAAGAGTATCCAGCGCAGTAGTATCCCCATCAATCACAATACCAGCATTCACCAAAGCATCAGGATCAGGTCCATACACAGCCAGCGCAGTCAACTGCTTAGCCGTTCCAGTCAAAGTGACTTGAGCAGCGTTCGACTGGTCAGCAGTGCTGTAGACGAGGGCCCCGTTAGACAGCCAGGAATGGTACGTCTTATTATCTTGATCCGAAACAACAAGATCTATAAGCACCTTCTTATCCCACGCCTCGGGCCCATTGATCTTGATAGCGAGAGTATCAAGGACCATATCCGGGGTAAGCTGACCCAGCACATCGGCCGCAGCTGTCTGCGTAGGCGTGCCGAAATTGCCATTGCGCAGCTCGGTCGTTCCGGAAATGTAGAAGTTCCTCCAGGTACCATTTTCAGAACCGTATCCGAGCTGCTCGTACACATCTGCTAGTTTCTTGCAGGCTTCCTCGTTGTTCGGGTTATTGAAGACGGCGTGATTTAGAAGCTCAGCTGCCCAGCGGTAGTCGCCTTTTAGGTATGCTTTGGTACCCTCTTCGAGAACCTTGTCCTCGCCGATGAGATCCACGTATCGGTTGGCCTTGTCGACGGGGGTGTGTTCCCACAAGTGGGCTGGGTTGCCGTCGAACCACCCGACATAGCGCTGATAGATGGCTTTGACGTTGTGGCTTAGAGAGCCGTAGTAGCCGCGGCAATACCAAGATTGATCAAGAGCCGGAGGCAAGGTGAGCATTTCGGCGATCTCGGGGCCGTTGTATCCCTTGTTCAGGAGGCGGAGGGTCTGGTCATGCGCGTATGCGTACAGGTCGCGCTGGTAGGTGAGGAACTTCAGGATGTTGTCGTTGCCCCAGGTCGGCCAGTGGTGCTGGGCGAAGACGACCTCGGCTTGGCTGCCGTATCGGTCGATGGTCTCTGTGAGGTACTTGGCCCAGGAGTGAGGGTCACGGACCACCGCACCACGCAGGGTCAGGATGTTGTGGAAAGTGTGAGTGGCGTCCTCGGCCGCGCAGAGTGCGTTGAGATCGGGGAACCAGATGAGCATTTCAGAAGGTGCTTCAGTGTCCGGTGCCATCTGGAATTCCATCTTAATGCCATCGACGGTCCTCTTTTCGCCCGTGCGTCTGACGGTCATGTTGGGTGCGATGAGGGTGACGACGCCGGTCGAGGTAGTCTGTCCCAGTCCAGCGCCGATCTGGCCCCTTGGTCCTTGCTCAAGGGCAGCACCGTACATGTACGCGGCGCGGCGACTCATTGAAGTACCGGTGTAGACGTTCTCGGACACAGCATGCTCCAGGAAACCCTCTGGGGCAATGATCTTGATGTCGTTTTTCTCGACATCGTCTTCACTGACGAAGCCTTTGACACCGCCGAAGTGGTCAACGTGGGAATGAGTGTAGATGACAGCCTTGACGGCTCGGTCAGTGCCACGGTGCTTCTGGTAGAGTGCGAGTGCAGCAGCGCCGGTCTCTTGCGAAGTGAGGGGGTCAATGACAATGATGCCCTCGTCGCCCTCAATGATGGTCGTGTTGGAGAGGTCAAGCCCGCGCACTTGGTAGATAGGTCCGGCGACATGGTACAGTCCATTCATGCGAGTCAGTTGCGACTGGCGCCACAGACTTGGGTTGGCCGAGTATGGGGCGTCGTCCTTCAGGAAGTCGTAGGCATCGTTGTTCCACACCACATTGCCCTGAGCATCAATGACCTGGTTGGGGTCACCGAGACTACCTCTCCAACCCCGCTTAGCATTCACAAAGTCTTGTGTGTCATCGAAGGGCAAACTCTCGTTGACTTCCTTCCACTGCTTGATGATGTGCAGGCTTGGAGGGTTCGACTCTTCGGACTTGATGGTCGACTGTGTCATGGTGAAAGTCAAAATAAAGAGCTCGAAACACCTGAGTTGAGTTCAAGTAATAAGATTGATGTTCTGAGATTGCTGCTGTTGTTTTCGTTGATGCTGGTGATGGAGAGATTGATTCCACGGCTCCATCGACCCTTATTTATCTCTCCGGGAGGCGAATTTCCCCCTCAGTTCGTATTGCCAAAACGGCGCGTATACAGACATTGACGACATCGACTCTGAAGTTTCGAATCCTTGCACCCCGGTCTTCGCTCTGTGAATGTAACCATGGCTCGTATACCAGGATGTTGAATAGATTGAAGATAAATTGAAGGAAGTAGATGGAACAGGCTTCCCTCCGATCTGACTGGTCAACAACATCTAACCACTTGGACCAGGGTCCAGGTCCAACTCCGCCATTTAATTAGCCTGCATTGGCTTCGGTCAACTTTTCAGCTCGGACTTCAGCTGAGGTGGAGATGCACCTGGCCATGTAACCCTTCATGTACGCCAAGAACACCCCCTCTTTTACGCGATCGAATGGACGAAGCCACGATGATCAGAGTCCTGCAGCAGCTCATATTGGCTGTGCTCAGCTGTGTAGATCTGCACCCATCCGAGATGAAGGTTCGCCCCAAATAGTATAGCATCCATACATCGTTGGGATGACAGCAAGGGTTCCCCCCTTCCAGTCAACCAATTGGCTGAAAAACGTGTGTCATAGCAGAGTCCTGCCAGATGGAAATCTGCACGACCTACGAAAAAGAAATTGAAAAGAAAAAGCAATTAAGATCACGTTGATGAGATGATGGATACTAGTAAGTGATAAATCATGGTCGATATACCAATGCGACTCCGGTTTCGCCACTAGATAGGGACGCCAGCGTGGCCTCAGGATCGTGATTGCATCCTCAAACCTCGTACAAACTGTTTGCCTGTTACACAATCCCATCTCATAACGGCGCCGGTAAATTGCCGCACTGTTCAGCTGGATCTTCAGTTTTCTTTTTCTTCTTGATCACACAGGATGTTAGTGGCATGTGGGTGGCGATGAAGTCCTTAAGCCTTCGACTTGATTAGGGGAACTCTCCCCCGTCTCACTCTTGTAAACCAGACACACCAGAATACCCATCAACAACATCTATTCAAGCCAAATCAACCCATCTAGCAAGCCTTCAGCATCAACGAGAAGAAAAGATGGCTGAAATGGACCAGCTCGACAGGTGAGCACACGTCGCATCCACCTCGGAATTCCAACCCGAGAGAAGAATAGATGCGGATTTGATCTGCTGTGTATCCGTAACCAACCCACGTATTAGACGGCATGCTTTCATTTTGTAGGTACGCCTGCTAGACTATACTACCATGACCTATATACTGTGTTTTCAAAACCTAAGTTCATCATGAAGATCCACTAGATACTAAGTGAACATATGACACCACCCGACCACTCTGGTAATCTCACAACCGTCGAGTCTCTTTCACTCGCAGCTCTACATCGCGTACAGCCGGCCACTGCATCCCATTCTGCGTGCTCCTGATCATTCCCCAAAAGCTTACGTCGGGAGCCTGATCCATTGAAGACACGCGCTCCGCATTATCCTTCTGCATCTTATGCAACTCCAATTTGATCGCCTCCACCGCTATTCCTGCCCCGGCGTTGGAATTGATCATGCCCTCGTAATGCGGCCACTTGCGCAAGGCATCAACGGCTCGAAGACGGATGCCAAGGTCTGGACATTTCGATGCCACAGCAAATAGCCCAAAGCTCAGTCCGTAATCCAGTGTGATAGTGGGGCGACAGGGAAACCTGTCCATGAAACTTTCGTATCCTGATAACAGATTGCTATATTCAAGGGTGAGCAATCTGTAGTCATACTCGTCGAGCAGGCACGTTTTCAGTACGATTGTCTTGGCAACCAATTGGAGCCTCACGATGTCCGCTCCTATTTGCTCTTTCGCGTTAAGAGTGGCATATTCTCGTTGGTAAAACAGTTCAAACCGCTCTGCAAGATGCTCCAGTGAGAATAACAGCCTCTGTCGTTTGGCCCAGAGCGTTTCGTAGTTCGCTAGTATCTCTGTTTCTGAAAGCCTCCAAGCTGTGGCAATGAACGGGATCACGCTATACATGACTCGCTGAAAGCATTGTCGCGCCACTTTCAGACTTTCAAAGCCGTCTAAAAACTCATTACCACGTTCATTCTCCTCCTCCCCTTGAATGCCTGATTGTGACTCGAAGTCTCCGACATGTGACGACTGGGAATTCAAGACGCGGAGTGTTTCAGAAAGACAAGGAATCACTGGTATCCCAAGGCGTAGCGACTCCTCGAGAATCTGTGTGCCACTACGTAGGTGTATGAAGGCTCTGGCGAATTCTCCCAACAGCAGCTCTGCCATGACGAAAAGAAGGCAGCACACTAGCACAACCTCGCGCAACTGCGGGTCGGGAGAGGCCCGGCGCTTTTGCAAATGTGCGAATGATCGGGCAGCCTGCTCAAGTGCAAATCGGTGTTTTGGATTCTGCAAATCCTCCCCAGCTAGTCGCATGCCTCTTTCCTCAGCATCCTGGTGGATTGCGCTCACCATGTTGACAGCATGGCATACCGCTGGATCGGAATGACACATCTGCAGGACCAGCTTCTGCCAGAGCCAGGAGTCAAAAAAGCCAACAAGGTCGGGGACAAGGCGGTATTGGAAGTACGAAAACCCTCGTTTTTCATCGGATGTCATGATCCCTTCAGCACCTGTTCCTAGGGTCGGGAGACATAATGCCCGCTTAATGGGGAATCGGTGCAGATCGTATCCGTCGCAGGCTCGGCCCGTAGAAGTACAATTCCTACAGGACCCCGGTGCCTCGTCGCATTTTATGCGCCGTACCCTAAGCTCAAGGTCAGACGTGGATTATCCATGGAACGACACCACAACACTACTAACCGGCAGGTTCGACATCCCGTTCTAGATCTCTTCCCAGTATTTCTGCGTCGCTGTCTACTTTCAGTTCGCACAATCGGCTCTCCAGGCATTGTGAACGAACTAGTCGAGCGGACATGAATTGTGCGGAGTTATAGCGTGGCTTATTTATAAGTAAGGAGTGATCACGCCAATACGAGGGGAGACGCGACTAGCGTCTGGCTAGGGCATTGGACCAATGATGACGCCGTGTCAGAGGCGCAAGTTTCAGCCCCCAACATCCCCTGTCACCGCGTTCAGGAGCCTCACTGAAGGAGGTGCCAAGTTGCAAAGCGTCGTTGTTATAATTGGGTTTCACTCGGAGTGTATGGGTAATCTTTCTATGATATTGAAGATTAACCTGCATTGAGGTGAATAAAGTTGCACGCCACACCCACGGGCCATCGGCGATCCATCCAAGTCCGAAAGCATGCTGCATTTGTGGGGATGCGCTGTCGAAACTTCATCCACCTGACTTTACCGCTAAACGTTCAATACCAGGTTCAGTGCTAGAATGTGTCAAACAGTTTGATACGAAAATCATGAGCTAATCAGAGCTACCAAGGCAGCCTGTAAACAGGCTCAGACGACAACATGTTGGAAATCTGGAAGAGGACATACCACACAATGACCTGCGAGTGACAGCTCCATAAATGGGGGATTATCTAAACTATTGATGATGTGAATGGTTTTTTATGCCCCGCAACGATTGGAAAGATCGAGGGATAGAGAGAAAGATGTAGTACGAAAGGAGTACCATCGATATCACCTGACCGGGCTGAATGTGAAAATATAAAGCACAATACTCCGGACACACTTCTTAAAATAACCACGCAGATCAATCAGCCACCGCGTCTCATGTATGTTTAATTGATTGTAAATCAGTTCCACATGATCAAACTGAATCATACACCATGGCAATTCTCTTGTCTCATTCCTAACTCGTCCTGAACACCAAATCGGGTATTCCGGAAGCTTCATGTGCGGGGTAGCGCTGGTAAGCACTAGTACAGGATGTCTACCCCATGGCAGGTGTGATATACCTGCTATACTATAGGGTGGTCTCTTTAACGGTCATGCAGCTGAGAAATCAATCAGATTGTTTCACGTGCACGGTTGCACAGTCAAAGTTGGTATCCCAGCCCCACCATTGCTGGCTCTGAGAATCTGAAAATCCGGTTCAGGGACACTGCGCGGATGAGGATTTACCCAGCCAGGTAGAGTGTGGCAGACCAGATCAAACCACTGGAAATTCAACCGTGGCACCGTCAAAAATAGAACAAGACATCCAATGATTGAAAAAGTGGCTGAGGGGGTTGCTTAAAAAATCTTTGGAGAGACATCCCAAGGACCCCTTTGATGGATGAAGTAAGGGATGCGATTGCCCGAGCGTGACCAAGACGGTACTGTGGTATTTGCAATACACAAGGCAACACCATTTGGCGGTCTCGGATTGGCCGCCCAGCTCAGCCCTACGGAGGAAATCCACCCACCCCCGGGGAGGCAAGCGACCCAATCAGGGACCCTTCTCCAGACGACTCTATTTATGACCTGCACAATTATTGCGTCTCATCCCTGCGCCCTAAATGTTGGGCCAGTGCAACTAGTTCACAGCATGCCACCACCACGTCATTACCCGAAATAGCCACCGCTCTCCCAGTGTGAAAGGCAGCGCCAGCGGTCGGTGAAATGCCCATCCCAACCCCTCCCGCAACTGCAGTTCCACCACCCGTCTCCAGTCCACATGATGTGCAAAATGAAGCGGAAAATGATGCTGGCTGATCGACTTGATGGTGCAGTCCATGTTAGGGTGCTCCTGAAGGTCTACCTGTGGCTGTAGCAGAGCTGGATGGTCACCCTCCAGGTCTAATTCCACTTTCAGGGATCCCGTGCTTTTAAATTGCCGTACCTGCACCGCCAAGTCATGGTTCCGGTGGTGAGAATCTCCCGAGTTCTTATCATGAACAATCGTAAGGTCGATGAGAGGGTGTCCAGAGCTTTCGATAAGGTGATGGTGGGTGGGATGCGGTGCCAGGTTAACTTGAAACTGGCCCTCAACAATCAGGTTTGGCGACGAGGGTTTCTGGTGCACAAGCACTTTTGTAAACCGTAAAGGAAGGTCGATCAAAGCCAAAGATTGAATCACTACTTTCTGCGGAGTTGTTCCGTTCTCAGTAATGGCCCGTCGCGCCAACCCGTTGTTCACGTAGCGCACAATATGGTCGCAAATCTGAGTCTGGTACATGTGCCAGAATCGTTGTAGTACACCATTTACCCATTCCACAGTCTCCCCGCGGGAGAGGATTTTATGTGCGTGGTATCGCTTGCATTCATCGCGAAGGATGCGCTGAACTCGGGTCAAGTTAACGACCGCATAAGTCCGACATACCGCCAGGACGAAGAACAACCATGTTAATCCCAAGTCGAGACGGCCAACGATCCAAGATATGAGGCAAACAAAGACGATGATGCGGGAGTCATCGTAGGTTTGTTGAATAAGTTCAACCAGGTCGAAGGGTTCTGGTGTCAGCTTAGGCTTACCCATAGCGGCAGGAACCAAAAAGCGACGGTGTTGGTGGTGGTAGTGTGAGTGGAAAGATAGTTCGAAGTAGAGTTGTGTTGTTCAGGGTAGAGTAACTAATGTAAATAATGAGGCTGATCCGGGGGTCTCCATGGTCAGCCCAACTAACATGATGAAATGGTGTGGATGAAGAGCGGTGATGATGACGGAGAGGACTGGGCCATTTATACCGACCGCACAGGGCTGCTGCCTCTGTTCATGCAGGCAAAGCCACCGCTGACTACGGAGAGGATTGTCGATTTGGGGGCCTATCGCAAAAAGTGATGCGGGTAATGCAAAAACCGATCGTGGGTGGGACTGTGTAACAATGTCATACTAATATTACGTAGTAATTTATGTTTAACTAGACACTCCTGGTTTCCTCCACTCTTTCCCCCTCAACAACCACAACCATCAAGTACTGTATTTGCTTACTCTTTTACTCTCCCTTCCCTCTCATGCCCACTTCCCAATAAGTGCCATGATGCCGGCTCCCAGCAATACGCAGAAGATCATTCCCAGCAGATGCGACCGCCGCTTAGTCCTATCGGGGTCGAACAGGAAATCGCGAGCCAACAATTCCACTAATCCGCTGTAGATCAGAATGCCGGCTGATACAGCATCCAATACTCCTTGAACAATATTTGCTGTCTTGGATCCCGAGTTATACGTCGTCCGCAGCCCGATTCCGATGGCAATCGAAATGGGCGTGGTGAGGCCGTACGCCATGCAGAGAACCCACGGTAGCCACCAATGCCGGCCAAAGCGCAGGGCAGACATCCGGGCGCCGATCCCAAGGCCCTCAAACGCTTGATGGAAGACCAACACGGGGTATAGAGTGCTGAATTCGTCACCAGTCACGCCCAAGTTCAGTCCGATTATTACCGAATGGAAGATAATGCCGAATTCCAGAATAAGAAAGGCAACAATATCCTTGCGGAATGAGCGCTCGGATTCGATGGAGCAAAGGTCATCTTGAGCCCCAGGCTGCTTGGATCCCCCGGTATCGTCGTTTACCGTACTCTCATCGTCGCTCTGGATCAAGTTTGCTTGGGCCAGGAATCGGTCGGTCGCGTCGTGCTCTTTTTCCACGCCATATACGCGTTCGACGTATATCTCGGAGGCAAGGTCCATCAGAAATACCACCATAACAGAGGCGAGGACAATAGCGGGACACCATGGATACTCCGCCCAATTTTTTGATACGCCCACGCAGGTTGTGCTGCCGATACTTTCATACGCTGGATCCAAGAGGTGGATGAATGCGGTGGCGACAATAACACCCGTACCGAAGTATCGAGCGAAGAGATAGATAGGGTAGGGGATATTCCAACGTGGTATTCTCTTGCATACCACGGGAAAAATTGTAGACGCTGATGATGTTATTAGGATCACAAATATCGCGGATATGCGTGCCCCTAGGTGCCCGTTGTAGTCATTTTCGGACAGCTGCAAGTAGCAGTAGATATCCTCCACACTGGCAGTGTCTAAGTTTACATTTGTTGGATCGAACGAAGACATGGTTTTTGAGATACATATTGCCTTCTACTCCATGCGTGGAAGAGGTGTCATTATATTCTAACTGATTGACAGAGTACCTTGGGGGATCGTCATAAGATCTTGGCCTGGCCACAGGGTCCCTAGGCCTGCCTGCACTATGTTATGACTTTGGTGGCAGACCCTTGCATGGGGCACATCTTACCCCCAAGGTTGGGGCTGACAGCCAGTGAATCCTCATTTCTTATTTCTTTGCAGCCTTTTGCTCTGAAGCTTCTAATACGCTGGTCTGATACACTTGCTTAGAAGATGCGAAGGATTCAAGACTAGTTACCACTGCAGCTGCCTGAGGAGTCCACGGAAATACAACGGCAATATAAATCAGCCAGGAAGAGTGCTGAATGGTTGGCATTCACCTCAAAGTGCCATAGTCATTCGAGATAGTCGCAACATTGACATTGCGTGCTGAGAGAAAATCGAACACCCATGAGGTTAGAAAGCCAGCGACGCCATTAGTAAGTTCGAATTCAGGACACCTCGGGTATCTACGACATCAAAGAATGTGCTCTGAGCTTTACCCATGATCTTCCCGCTTCGTATCTGACTCAATTGAGTGAATGTTGTGTCACCGAGCGAATTATTCTGATCTTCGGCCATATCAAATAGCTACATCCCTTCTATCCCGCGCTCACACCGTTTGGCAATATGCGAAGCGTCTATCGCCGATGCCGGACCAGTGTTACCGGATGCGGTGCTGCCATGGTGCATCCATCTTTTCTTGTATTTTTCCGCCAATGATAACGAGCATAACAAGACATCCGACTATTGACTGCAAGTCTAGCCATGACGGACATTTGCGACTCCTACATCCGTCAGCAAATAAATTGCCTGATCATCAGGGTGTTGGTTTCCTCGGCATAGTGTTCGCGTTCACATAGACTGGGCCTTGGATATTGGCTTCCTGCCTCTTTCTGACGAACAGCCCTTGGGGTCAAAATGGTCCCATTCCCACTACATCAAGCAGCGGCGGCAAATGTGCTGGGTGAGACACGGCTCAGTAATCTGGAGCACCAAATACCACCCTCTCGCCAATGCCATTGCCAGATGATACCACAACCTATGCCCTCGCGCCATCAACTTCCACGACTTAATTTGAGGTGCGGGTTGAATATGAAGACTGGTCGGAGACCAATGGGTATTCTTCTCGGTGGGGCAGAGCTTAATATCACTTTCGACCGACAAGCTTATTTCGCCCCTTAGAGCCGGTTGTGACGTCTGATTCCAGAAGCCGGTTTGTTTAGCAGTATGGCCTGATTGATCACCACGATTCAGGCACTGTCTCCTTTGAGTAGGGCCCAGAATCGGGATGTGGATATTGCACTCGTCATCCCGCGTTGTTTAATCTGGCCGATGCAGAAGAAACGGGGCGCGCTTTGCTCCCCGCAGCACGCGGCACAATGAAAATTGAAAATATAGAATCATATATTATGGCGCTTTGAGCCAGTAGTAATCTGGATAAGCTTGAATAGGAGTTCATGACGATCTGCTGGGGTCAATTAAGTGTGGGGCTTGAGGCCTGGCACAGTGGAACCTCTCATCCTGACGATCACTAGGTTATCTTCCCACTGCCACCGAATGTGCCAATCATGATCCCCTCGGGGAAGAATTGAATTGAGGATCGTCAGTGTCTCAGACGAGCTGGAGACTGTGCGCGGGTCATAAAGTGCCGGGTTAGACTTAACAGTCTTGACTCGCGGGACAAGGGCTCAAACTGTTGCACGATCGGCGGGCGGGAGAAAAGCATCCAGAAAGATGACTCTGGTTTTGTCCCGTCCGAGAGTTTCACCATGCGATCCATGATCAATCTGCGACACACTCCGCCATGATTGACATGGCTGTTTCCATGTTCGCGCCAACTTGCCGTGCACACATGGCAGCCAAGCCCAAACCCTCTATGGCAGGTTCTTCGAGCATCCAACTATTAAACTACCTCTCGACTCAGCTTTGATCCAGCTTCCATCACCAAGCCAATTCACATTCTTTACATTCGTTTTCTCAGAACTGCTGGTTCAGTCATTCCTTTCATATCCACAACTTCGATTTCTGAGGCCCGTTGCAATGACTCTCCTCCGTCATCTCCTGACGGCAACTGCCTTGCTTGGAGCTTCGGTCCAGGCAGCGCAGGGTGTCACTGGCTCCCCCTTCGGTTTCGCTAGCGGCACGACTGGTGGTGGTGATGCCACTCCTGCTGCGCCTAGCGACATCAGCCAGCTGAAGACCTGGTTGTCCGACAGCACCCCCCGCGTCATCCTTATTGACAAGGAGTTCAACTTCCTCGGCAGCGAGGGCAAGTGCACCAACTGCGAGTGCTGCAAGCCCGCCTCAAACACCTGCGGCAGCTCTGGCCAGAATGCCGTCAAACAAAATGGCTCCGACTGGTGCGGTAGCTACCCGACCCTGACCTGCACGTACGACAACGCCGGTATTGAGGGTCTGGAAGTTGCCTCCAACAAGTCCATTGTTGGCGTGGGTAGCTCTGGTGTCCTGCGTGGAAAGGGTCTGCGCCTGGTGAACGGTGTCAGCAACATCATCATCCAGAACATCCACATCACCGAGCTCAACCCCGAGTTCATCTGGGGTGGTGACGCTATCACCCTCGACGGCACCAACAATGTCTGGATTGACCACGTCAAGATCAACCTCATTGGTCGCCAGATGTTCGTTGCCGGATACGAAGCCAGTAGGTTTTGCATTATCAAATGCACATTATTTTGGATTCGAAACTGACAGTGCGCAGGCCACAGCGTGACTATCTCGAACAGCGAATTTGATGGTGAGACCAGCTGGTCTGCCACTTGCGACGGCCACCACTACTGGACTGTGTGAGTCTCATGTCTCCCCAAGTGCTCTTCCATTATTACAGCTTTCTAACAATATTCTAGTCTCGGATACGGCCACAACGACAAGATCACCTTCGCCAACAACTACATCCACCACACTTCGGGCCGTTCCCCCAAGCTCGAGTTCAACAGCTTCTGGCACGCGTACAACAACTACTGGTTCAACAACACCGGCCATGCGTTTGATGTTGGCAAGAACACCCGTGCTCTGATCGAGGGTAATGTGATGGTCCAGGTCGACACTCCTCTCTTGGCCGACAGCAACCCTGGTGCCGTTTTCGCCGTGAACACCAGCGATGTCTCCACTTGCACCAGCACCCTCGGACGCACCTGCGTCCCCAACACCTTGATTAGCTCGGGTACTCTCTCCGGCAGTGACAGCTCTGTGATCAGCAGCTGGCCCTCTGGTGAGTCCGACGTCACCGTCATGGCTGCTAGCAAGGTCGCTTCCTACGTCAAGGCCAACGCCGGTATTGGTAAGCTTAGCAACGGATCTGGCTCCTCCAGCACCGTCGGCGCGGCTGCCACCTCCGCTGTCGCCAAGCGTGCCGACTCTGACGATGCGCCTTATGTTCCGGCCTACTCTGAGGCTGGCCCCGGCGCCTCTGCCATCCCCAGCCAGCCCTCCTGGTCTTGGAGAACGGTCACCAACGGCCCTGCACCCACTGGAGCTCCCTCTGATGCCCCCGCCCCCCAGGGTCTTGGTGCTCCTGTCCAGGCTTCGAACAAGCACCACCACAAGGGACACGGCCGTGGCTACTAGAGGGATCGATGGCTTCGCTTTTGAGCTGACAAGCTCAGAATTAAGTCAGCTGGAATAATTTCCGTTCTCAGCACAAAGAGCCTAACGGTCTGTGAAGCGGTAACTCTTATGTACATTTCAGACATTCTTCTTCTTTGTACATGATCAGGCTCTAGCCAGAAATTCCTTAGCTAGTGTCTTATTTATCTCATTTAGTCAATACATCAATCCTTCTCGATGGGGCTATCTCACTCTCTAACTTCGTAGCAAGCAACATAATATGCGTAATCTGGTTACACTGTCAGAGATGCAGTGAGGATGTTGTAAGGTGGTTGTCAGTTGTCAAAGCATTATTGGTAGCCATGAATCCATATGCAGGAATCAAGTTATTAGCACAGGGTCCTATAGGAACTTTTTGCAAAGTAGATAGCTGTTGAAGGTCCATGTCTGGCAGTGCTATGGCTGACGAAGGTCTTCAACCGGCATTGTCAAAGGCATGGGTGATTACTACTAGCAGTTATAATTAAGGAGTACTCTGGATGGGGGGAAATGTACTAGTAATACTTAGTAACTGTCAACGCTTGGTACTACATGATGTTGTCGCTAATCATTAGTACTAGTCCTACTAAGTTGGGTTCCAGTAAAGGGGAAACGTGACCTGTACTACTTAGTCGCTTCAAGGGTGAAGCGATATATATAGTACTATTCAATTCAACCCCATCAGCAAGTAGTACTCACATCGTGGTAGTATCTCTGCCTATTCTCTCACAATCACATAAACATGTTTAACCTTCAACCCTACTACAGTATACTACTGAGTCATAATTAAATATGGCACATCTTCATTATATAGATTTGCTTTGCAGCTGTCTATGCTTATCTGGATGACGTCATCTAATACTAAGTGACACAAGGAGAGGGGGCAAAAAAGTCCGCTGGATGGAGCAGAGAATGACCGGAACAACAGAGAGAATTTTACAAATTAATTCTCAGATCACCATTCGCTAGCTGATTATTTGAGAAAAAATAACAAATGGTGGGATAGTCGGCAGTCTCGATCTCGATGCGCGGCAGCCAATCACGTGAGACACTCAACGCGTGAAGGCGTCACGTCCGGCGCGAACGAGACACGAACTTGCAGCAACTCCGGGGGAGCGCAGTTTCCCGCGACAGCCATCATTCTTCGAGAGAATACCCCCCAATTGTCCAAACTACTTCGTTTTGTGTATACATTTTCCTTACCCTAATCATTGGAGAAGAAAAGAACCGCGTCTGCTTAGTTTTCTATGACCCTTCATCATGCCTGAAGCCGTCGCCATGCCCCAGAAGCGGGTTCTGGGCGATGCATCAAATAACCCTCGCGGCGTCGCAACAGATCCCAGTGCGCTCAAGAAGCGCAGGATAGAGAATGGCTCGGCCGCTGCTATGAAGCCCCCGACAAACGGCCAGCGCCGAGTTCCGGGCTCCAGCCAACCCCAGAAGAGTCAGTTCGAGGCGGAGGTTCTGGAGAAGCTGACCCAGGATATCAACGGGCTGAAGGACAGCAATTCGGAGAAGGACCAGCAATGGGAGCGA